GATCATCTCCCGTGCCTTCATCAGTTTGTTTTCATGACCATCCCTGTGCCTTCATCAGTTTGTTTTCATGACCATCCCTGTGCCTTCATCAGTTTGTTTTCATGACCATCCCCGTGCCTTCATCAGTTTGTTTTCATGATCATCTCCCGTGCCTTCATCAGTTTGTTTTCATGACCATCCCCGTGCCTTCATCAGTTTGTTTTCATGATCATCTCCTGTGCCTTCATCAGTTTGTTTTCATGACCATCCCTGTGCCTTCATCAGTTTGTTTTCATGATCATCCCTGTGCCTTCATCAGTTTGTTTTCATGATCATCTCCCGTGCCTTCATCAGTTTGTTTTCATGACCATCCCCGTGCCTTCATCAGTTTGTTTTCATGATCATCTCCTGTGCCTTCATCAGTTTGTTTTCATGATCATCTCCCGTGCCTTCATCAGTTTGTTTTCATGACCATCCCCGTGCCTTCATCAGTTTGTTTTCATGACCATCCCTGTGCCTTCATCAGTTTGTTTTCATGACCATCCCTGTGCCTTCATCAGTTTGTTTTCATGATCATCTCCTGTGCCTTCATCAGTTTGTTTTCATGATCATCTCCCGTGCCTTCATCAGTTTGTTTTCATGATCATCTCCCGTGCCTTCATCAGTTTGTTTTCATGACCATCCCTGTGCCTTCATCAGTTTGTTTTCATGATCATCTCCCGTGCCTTCATCAGTTTGTTTTCATGATCATCTCCCGTGCCTTCATCAGTTTGTTTTCATGACCATCCCTGTGCCTTCATCAGTTTGTTTTCATGATCATCTCCTGTGCCTTCATCAGTTTGTTTTCATGACCATCTCCCGTGCCTTCATCAGTTTGTTTTCATGATCATCTCCCGTGCCTTCATCAGTTTGTTTTCATGATCATCTCCCGCGCCTTCATCAGTTTGTTTTCATGATCATCTCCCGTGCCTTCATCAGTTTGTTTTCATGATCATCTCCCGTGCCTTCATCAGTTTGTTTTCATGATCATCTCCCGTGCCTTCATCAGTTTGTTTTCATGATCATCTCCCGTGCCTTCATCAGTTTGTTTTCATGATCATCTCCTGTGCCTTCATCAGTTTGTTTTCATGATCATCTCCCGTGCCTTCATCAGTTTGTTTTCATGATCATCTCCTGTGCCTTCATCAGTTTGTTTTCATGATCATCTCCCGTGCCTTCATCAGTTTGTTTTCATGATCATCTCCCGTGCCTTCATCAGTTTGTTTTCATGACCATCCCTGTGCCTTCATCAGTTTGTTTTCATGATCATCTCCCGTGCCTTCATCAGTTTGTTTTCATGATCATCTCCCGTGCCTTCATCGGTTCCCATGAAAATCTCCGGGTTTCGTGTTTACTTATTATTTCTTTATGAGGTCTCATGTCTACTTCTTGTGTCTTAATCGGGTTTCATGTCTATTTCTTGTCTTAATCGGGTTTTATATTTACTTCTTGTATCTTCATTCGGTCATCTTCCCAATGCAAGAGAGTTAACCTAAAAGTCCAGTTTCCACCCTTGACGAACTAGGCTGGAATTCCTGGGTTCGATCGTAGCGCCACCAGTGGTTATTACGAGCAACGTCCCTTCTAAGCCTCTCCTATGGACCAATCCGATTCAAACACTTGCATTTGTTTCAAACAAAATGGCGGCGCCCGGTCAAGACGACCTGATTGATAATCAAGATCTATATTGGGATAAAACGGATCTTACATCGCGAAGTGCATCAAATCAAGTGAACACCTTGATTAAAAACATGAAAAGATTTGGAAAATATCTGTTGACTACGAGTTGGCGGTGCACATGTTTTGCAAATCCTGCAATCGACCGAAATCTGCACGACAGTTAACGAACCGGATTTCGATTTCGTTGCGCGATTTTGATTGGACTAAGCATAGACTCGTTAGTCCAGCCAAAATGTAAATCCATAATACCAGCCTAGTTCGGCAAGGGTGGAAACTGGACTTTTATAGTCAATTAACTCTCTTGCCTCGGGAAGATGTCACTGGGTTTCATGTCTACGTCTTGCGTCGTCATCAGGTTTCATGTTTACTAAATGCGTCGGCATAATGATTCATATGTACTTCTTGTGTCTTCGGGATTCCTGTCTACTTCTTGTGTCTTTGTCAGATTTTTATGACTACTTCTTGCGGAATCGTCTTGCGGGCCTACTTCTTGCGTCTTCATTGAGTTTCAGGGGCGGTCGGGTAGCCTAGTGGTTAAAGCGTTCGCTCGTCACGCCAAAGACCCGGGTTCGAATCCCGACATGGGTACAATGTGTGAAGCCCATTTCTGGTGTCCCCCGTCGTGATATTGCTGGAATATTGCTAAAAGCGGCGTAAAACCATACTCACTCACTCACTCATTGAGTTTCAAGGCGACGTCTTGTCTTCATTTGGTCTATGGCAAGAAACGTTGGGTTTATTACACGAAAACTCGTTGGAAATAGGGGGCACGGGTGTTCCTGTCCTCCACGGCTCTGCAATTCGCTATTATCGTGTGTTCGCCCCGATAACGTTTCTTGGTTTGGCAGCACCATACTCGTGCGCGTGGGTTTCACCAAAGTGCTAAACGTCCGAGACGCGTCGGGCTTGCCTTCCCACCTCATGCTTTCCTTCCACATTAAGCTGACACGCCGTGATATAACTGAAATACTGTTCAAAGAGGCCTTAAACCCAACTCACTCACTCCTTCGTTTGGGAATAGCCATATCATCATCCACATGTATAATTCTGTGTATGTCTTCCTTAATTTCAATCAAAGACTTGTTTATCATACTGAAAAACGGGCCTGGAGGGCGGGTGTTTTTAATATACCTTTATAGAACGCATAAAGACGTCGGACTGCAAATCATATTTTCAAAATGTTACGTTCGACAAGGAGTTTAGGTCTTGCGGTGATAAGAAAAGTTTGGGCCTAAAGAAACAGCTGCGCTACGCATGCATCTCCTACACACGTCCAGGCTATTCAGATTCTCACACAAGCCGGGGGCCATGTTGTTGTCGAAGAACGTCTGTGATGATGACGAAACGATGTGTTGATCTGCACATTCCACACAACATAACAGGATGTCAAAGAATGTCATGAATCAACCGAAACACAGGTACAGGTATGTGTTTCACTTGTGAAGAAAAACTCCCGTCGATCATATTTTCTCAGGATTATTTTCCGTTTGTGAAACTGTTTCAGTTATTCGTTTTGATATGGTTTTTATGCTAAATTTAAATTATTAAATGTATGTACAGCACAATCTTAAATATAATCATAATATTAGTTGTTGTTTTTTTAATAATGCGATCCCGCAAATTTTGAAAAAATGTGTCCCAGGTATTTCCCAAAACTAATAAATCCTTCAAAGGACAGACTGGATGTTCTGAAATATATGTGTTATGAGTCCAAACATAGTATTGGCTTTTTCACAGAAAACATGTGTTTTTAGCGTTGGCTAAAGAAATATCCTGTCTAAAGCAACAGTCCGTTACCGCCCGCCCTCGTGTATATTAAATGATATGTCTATTCTTCAGCGCACGTCCTATGCTGGACACAACTGGACTGAGGTTGGACACCTGTCACCACCATGTTGCTTCCATCAATATTTCCTCATCTTTAGGTCTTACGAGTCTTTAGGCTGGGTTGTGTGTTAATGGAAATCTGACCGGTGGTCCGTCTCCCCAACCCCAGGCTTCTTCCGCGATGGGGGTGACAGCCCTCCGCTCGCATTTCAGCTGCGATAATCCCCACGAAGGTGATATTTCACGCATGGACACCATTTCCCGAGCTGTCATGATGGCCCACTGTCTATGAATTAGCTACATTGACAAATTAATTTTATAGCCTAGAGGCAAATGCTCGTTATTCTTCGTGTATATGCTACGGCAGGTTTTCGTTCAAACAAAAGTCACCTATTTTTATTCTATCATCATACTGTTGAGGACAGAGGATGCAGACAATCAGTACACTCACCTCACCGCAGTTCCATCGTTCATCTTGGTCATCCATGCAAAGGTTATCTACATTTATGTATAAGCCCACGGCTATGTAGGGGTTGCCGAGAAATAATTTCCTGAAAAGTATTTTGGCATGATTTGTTCAAACGTTTGTTGTGATCTTAATGTATCAGTATGTACTAAACCACCGGGTTAAAAGAAAGTATACACTTGAAAATTACACTTGACCTTTAAAAAAATACAATTGGTTGGTTGGTTTGTTGTTTAACGCCGCACTCAGCATTATTCCGGCTATATGACGGCCGTCTGTAAATAATCGAGTCTGGCCCAGACAATCCAGTGATCAATATCATGAGCATCGATCCACGCAATTGGGATCGATGACATGTACCAACCAAGTCGGCGAGCCTGACCACTCGATCCCGTTAGTCGCCTCTTACGGCAAGCATGGGTTGCTGAAGACCTATTCTACCCCGGATCTTCACGGGTCTAATATGACTAGGTCGCCTAGCCGCCTGTTGTGAGGTACTCATTGATATGATGCATGTAATATCGCCTATGATACCTACATATCAAATAGAATCGAATAACGATTTTTTTGTTTGTTTCATTTTTAGCCACCATCACAGAAACATGGATGTTTGTATATTTTCTTTTGCCCGGCAGTTTACTGTCCAGTCCAAGGACTTTAACTGACCTATACACGCTTCATTCAAGGTGGACCCGTGAAGACCCGGGATGGAATAGGTCTTCAGCAACCCATTCTTCCCGTAAAAGGCGACTATGCTTGTCGTAAGAGGCGACTAAAGGGATCGGGTGGTCAGGCTCGCTGACTTGGTTGATGCATGTCATCGATCCCAATTGCGTGGATCGATGCTCGTGATATTGATCACTGGATTGTCTGGTCCAGACTTGATTATTTACAGACCGCCGTCATATAGCTGGAATATTGCTGAGTGCGGCGTTAAACAACAAACCAACCAAACAAACTAATTTACAGAAAATAAAGACAGGACAATGTAGAAAAGCATGACAATACGTTATAAATATACTTATTTATTTTGTTTTTCAAATATAATTCATTTCCGAAGCGTAGCTATGGTGTCGAAAGGGCCCAGGGTATTAATCGTAATACGATATAATGCACTAGATAATCGAGGATAGATTGCAGGTAGTTCGCGTGTGGTCAGTAAGGGGTCTTTGACATAGTGAAGGTGTCGACGACCTTGTCGGATTTGCTGAGGATGTACTCGAACTGGATCTGCCACCTCGACGGCCGCATGAGCAAGTACCCCGTGTCGAACGTCGGCTCGTCGAATGCCCGCCACTTCACGAAGGGCATGAACGTTGGGTCATTCAGCTCGGGATTCCCTGCAACAGGAAGGCTCGGTGTTGATGGAATGCTATGTCCAATATCATTCAAATCATTTTTTACTCCCATTTGATACCTCTCTGCGTTAAGATCTGAAAAACCTGCCTGAGCAAACCCATTGACCGCCCATTCTAAATGAGTGAGTGAGTGAGTATGATTTAACGCCGCTTTAAGCAATATTCCAGCAATATCACGGCGGGGGACACCAGAAATGGGCTTCACACATTGTAATCGAACCCGGGTCTTCGGCGTGACGAGCGAACGCTTTAACCACTAGGCTACCCGACCGCCCCCCTTCAAAATGAAGGATGTAGGGGTTCTCGAGACAATAAGATATGCGCCTTCTTAAACGATTCATTTCTTAACATCTCGATTCGGAATACCGATCTTAACAAAAGTAAAATAGACACAGAACACACATTTTCCATCGATAGTACTCCCTTTTGTGTGAAAATGGCATGACGCTCAGAAACGACAGCGTGTATGAAATATGAGCAAGACTTGTAGTATAATAGCGCGGCCTTTATGATTCACAAATGCAACTACCCGTTTATATTCGTTTTCAAGAAACAGAAATCAGTTCTGCTGCTCTGAATTGGCGGAATGCCTCACTTTATAAATATCGACGCTGACTGGCTGAAAGTTCGTCTGACACAACCTTCTTTGGCGAGAGGTATCGTGTCGGAGTAAAAGATCTCATGTAATGAGATTGTGTTATGTTACGCGATTCTCCAGCAAAATCATGGCGGTGGACACACATACATTGTACCGTTGTGGTTATTCAACAGACCTATCATAACACAGCCATACATGGTGTAACGGCACATTATGTCTTTTTTTTATAACTTTCAAACGTCGGGGTTCGGTGAATCATTGGCCAATGGCGTGCCTGCACCGGCCCCGATCACACTTCGGAGACCACCACCGTCACACACTCGGAGAATATTTTTATGTTAAAAATGATTGTGGTATAAATTTAAATGAAGAATCGTTCAAATTTCGACCACTCTGTTTTTCTTTAGACCCCACCTTGCCAACTATAGCAAAGTAGCATGGTTTGGCGACTCCTAATACGTTTAAGCTCTTGTGAAACAAGCAAGCACGGGGATAGTGGCGACAGGCGAAGGATGATAATCGGGGCGAATATATAGGAGTTGATCCAACGATAGTCGGACCCTGACACGTTATCCGGGTGTACACGAAGTACACGAATGCTGGCACGCTTAAAATGCGCAAATCGACACACATCCTCGATTATGCAGTGTAGTCTATCTCCAATCGCCACCATAACTTCGTTCATAGCTAAATTCGAATGTCATGATGCTAATAAAAGCGAGCTACAGATATTTTGTTAGAGACAGGACATGGAGATAGTGACGTCACTTCCGAAACGAAGCTAGTTATCGTAACAGAATGGGAATGTAATACCCTGGATAATCGAGGATGCTCTGTGCAGTGGAATACGCAAGAAAGGAACGTACCCGCAGCGCCGTTCACGATGTAGACGGGGGACAGGGAGTTGGTGTAGTCTGTCTGGGATATCAGCTTCTTGTAGACGGGGTAGGAGCGCTCGTACTGGTGGTTGTGGCCACTCATGTAGATGTCCACGTTCTGGTAGTAGAGGAGGTCCTCGAGGTTGTCACGGAAACGCGGAGCCTCTACGTCGCACCTGGAGGAATGAGTGAATTAAGTAGAATAGTTAAGGGGGATATAGCCTGAGACCGGTACACCTACCATGGGGCCAAATTTATACCCCAATACTACAACTACAGGAGGGGGGGATTTTTTCTCTCTTCTATTAAAATGATTATGCTATTCTACGATCGACATGACATTAAACTAAGACGAATGCCCACAAATAGGGGTACTCCCAATTAAACATTTGAGGTACATAGGATATATAAAAATGCCAAGAGCATCCCTACCAAGAGAAGCATACACTGAAATTCGTTCGGGCACTTTATCTGATCGAGCAGCAAAACAGAAGTACCACATTTCACAAGCTAGATATATGCGAATTCGTGGAAGCCAAGAGGAGCAAGAAACGAAACAAGAAGAAGTATACGATTGTCTCGAAAAAAGATACCCTTTTCTATTCCTATCCGATAGAGAGAAACACATATCGGAGTATTTACTAGAGCGCCATTTTCTGCAAAAAATAGCAAAAATATAGCAAAATATAGGATTTGCTTGCTTTTCCTATATTTTGCTATATTTTTGCTACAAGCATTTGCTTGCTTTTCCGAGGGTATAGGATTCTTGTTGTGTGGAATTCCTATGTATAGAATTCCTATTTGTAGGCAAATATTGTAGAATATGTATACGATGCCACGAAAGAAACATCTATCCGAAGAAGAGGTGGAAGAAATTCGTGCTCTACGTGGAAACATCTGTGTGGAGGATGCGGAAAAAAGATATGGTATTGGAGCGGGGAGGTTGTATAGAATATGGAACAACCCCATAGAAAGCACGACACAGGTGGAACCATACAACCCTATAGAGCGTGTGTCTCGCGAAGATATATTGGGAGATATATATATAGAGTATTGTTGGATATACGAAACAATATTGCGAAAGAGAAAGAAGATGTAGAAGAAGAATTGGAGTCCTTGGAAAAGAATTTAGAGAAAGCGCGATGGTTTGACAAATACAAAAATATAGCGGGATATATTCTCCTTCCAACTGTTGTACTATGGAAACTACGGAAGTAAAGGAAGCTCCCATTGTTCCACCGCGGGACCCTCCTACAAAACCGGATGCTTTTCGAATGCTATAGATTTTCCATTTGGATATTTGCTATTTAGTATTGAATAGAAGAAAATATGTATATAGAATACAAGAAAGGCAATCCTCCACGTTTTCCTTTCGAGGAATTTTCTTTACTAGACAGAGAGAAACTACGAGATCAAGCCTCCAAAAGACCAGTAGACCATCCAGCATGGGGATTGCCTAATAGTCGGGCCGGCCGGGCCAGCGGGTAACACTAAAAATGGATTGCAGAATAATAAAACTAAACGTACATATCTCGGCAGATTTCAAATGTCCACAAACGTATAGTTTTTTTCTCATTTAATTAAGTTTGAATCAAAATGCATCTTTAACAATGTAATAAATTGATAATTATGACTACATACCGTGAGTCCTCGTAGAAAAGTCAGTTCGACCTAATTAACCTTTACTAATTCATGTTAAACGAACAAAGGATGTTTTCTGGAAGTGGATATTCTTCGAATGTCACAGGGCTCACACGACACGTGTTAATAACTGTCCTAGCACTTTAAAAGTTACTGAACATTCCTTACACCTAAGGACTAGTATTATATCTACCTATATATCACTTTCGTGTCTCATATTGCAGTAGTTAAAGAAAACACGGTGCTCAAAGGGAAGCCCTTTTCCCTCTACATTCTCAAGTTCTTTATAAGAAGTGATTGGTCTGTGCTCGGTTTGACTTGGCCCGGGCTGTCAAAATCAACTTTAAACTCACAGATGTATCAAATGTGTTTACATCTATGGACTAGTAATATATCTACCTACATATCACTTTATGTCACAGAGCACCGCATTTAAAGGAAACAGGTCCGTTAAAGTCAAGCACTGTTACTGTATTTTCTCACGAAAATCTGTCACATGTGTTTGCCCCGACTGGGCCCGGGCTGTCAAAATCAACTTAAACCTCATATATGTATCATGCCATAGATTCAGATCCATAGATTAGTATTATATCTACCCATATACCACGTCATAGTGTCTCATATATCTAAAGAAAACAAGGTGCTCAAAATGAAGCCCTTTTCCATTCCACATTCTCAACATCCTCAAAATAGTCTCTCAGAAGTGTTTGGCTTGTGTTGGGTCCGACTTGGCCCGGGCTGTCAAAATCAACTTTAAACACACAGATGTATCATCAAATGTGTTTACATCTATTGATTGGTATTATATCTACCTATATACTACTTTATAATGTCATAGCACGTGGCATTGAAAGAAAACTGATCCGTTAAAGTCAAACACTTTTACTGTATTTTCTTACGAAAATCTCTGTCAGAAGTGTTGTGTCCGACTTTGCTCGGGCTGTCAAAATCAACTTTAACACACACAGATATATCATCAAATGTGTTTACCTCTTTAGATTAGCATTATATCTACCTATATACTACTTTATAATGTCACAGTACATCGCATTTAAAGAAAACTAGTCCGTAAAAGTCAAGCACTTTTACTGTATTTTCTTACGAAAATCTCTGTCAGAAGTGTTGTGTCCGACTTTGCTCGGGCTGTCAAAATCAACTTTAACACACACAGATGTATCATCAAATGTGTTTACCTCTTTAGATTAGCATTATATCTACCTATATACTACTTCATAATGTCACTGTACATCGCATTTAAAGAAAACTAGTCCGTAAAAGTCAAACACTTTTACTGTATTTTCTTACGAAAATCTCTGTCAGAAGTGTTGTGTCCGACTTTGCTCGGGCTGTCAAAATCAACTTTAACACACACAGATGTATCATCAAATGTGTTTACATCTATTGATTGGTATTATATCTACCTATATACTACTTTATAATGTCATAGCACGTGGCATTGAAAGAAAACTGATCCGTTAAAGTCAAACACTTTTACTGTATTTTCTTACGAAAATCTCTGTCAGAAGTGTTGTGTCCGACTTTGCTCGGGCTGTCAAAATCAACTTTAACACACACAGATGTATCATCAAATGTGTTTACCTCTTTAGATTAGCATTATATTTACCTATATACTACTTTATAATGTCACAGTACATCGCATTTAAAGAAAACTAGTCCGTAAAAGTCAAACACTTTTACTGTATTTTCTTACGAAAATCTCTGTAAGAAGTGTTGGGTCCGACTTGGCCCGGGCTGTCAAAATCAACCTTTATACCTACCTACCTACATATACCTCTTTATAGTGTCTCAGATCGCGGTATTTAAAGAAAACAAGGTGCTCAAAGTGAAGCACTTTTCCTTCTACATTCTCAACATAGTCTCTATAAGAAGTGTTCTTCCGACTGGGCCTGGGCTGTCAAAATCAACTTAAACATCAACTGTGGTTACATCTATAAAATAGTATTATATCTACCTAAAAACCACGTTATAGTGTCTCAGATTGCGATATTTAAAGGATAACAAGGAGTTCAAAGTGAATCATCTGTGTGTTTATCGGTTTAATTGTACGGTATACATTGTAGACAGACAGACAATAATTTATTAGTGTCTCACTTCTGTACATACATAAAACAGCTTTGTACAAATAAACATTGATAGAATGTACAGAACCATTCAATAGAATTATGAGAGATTATTAACAGAATATCCCACTGATAAGTATATGATAAATTGTTGAATTAACATAAGATAAGGTTGAGAATTAATTGTGTTTTTTCAATACTTCTTAGACTGGTGAGACTAGAGTTCGATGATGACCAGCCTGCACATATTGTAACATTTTTTTACCCTGTTCCCATTTGATGGAAAGTGTGTCGTCTGCTAGACAAAGACGCATCAAAACTCTTTTTGTGATAAGTACCATTTGTGTGTTAATTTGGATAAGACCATTGGGTATTTTCTATCTAAACATGAGAAATGAAAGTACGATGGACAACCGCTTGTTTGGGTACCTTCATATAAATACTTAAAATTAACGTTTACTAAATCTCTATGATGGTCCAAACATGTAAAATATACACCCTTGCAAGCTATGAAGATTCTATATGGTGTTTTTTTAATGTTTGTCAATATTTATACCATTACCATTCATGTACGTTTCAAAATATTTGACACAAAGATAAGTCCAATATTACTTTATGGGGCAGAAATATAGGATGTAAATCGTGAATTATGTGAAGACAGTGAAACTGTACATTTGTTGGAATTCAATTGATCACAGCGCTAAAATCATAGTGTAAACTTGTCTCTGAGGTGAAAGTGGGCGGAGATTCCTTTAAACGACACCAGAGGTTACCCATTTCCCGTTACGTGACACCCTCCTTAGTCAGGAGGAGCTCTACATGTCGCACGAAGACCTGAAGCTGTACGTGAAGGTCCAACTGAAGCCCCTGAAGTGGGTGTCTCTTAATGGCTGTCCTTGTCAGTTTCCCACCTCTCTATAGCGCGACAAAACACAATAATCTCAGTCGTATCGCTGTAAACAGACGATAGTGATACAGTAGTGGCGACGGAACACCACCCTAACTTACTCTGGGTAATTTACCTCCACCAATAGAGCCGCCTCCGTGGACTTGTGGTAGAGCGTCCGCCCGGAGAGCGGAAGGTCCGGGGTTCGAACCCCGGCCGCGTTACCCTGTCTTGCGCTCGGCATTTAGGGGCTAAAACAAGGACTGGTCGGCTCGGAGTCAGTATACTGTGTCTGAGTGGGGTATTCATGTTAAGCTGCGGCATGGTATCTCAGTAAGCTAGCACTATAAATCGGCATCTGTCCGGACTAGTACAATCAGCCACGCAAACACGTGCATGCACGTCGCTATATAAGTGCAATAATCTTGGACGCGACATTAAACCCAATTTCACCTCACCTCACTTCACCTCCACCAATAGACGGCTTTTGGTGCCGTTGCACAAAAACAACCTAAGCTACAACTGCCGTAAGTCTATGTTAATGTATGGGGGTATTAACGATCACCGGAGTGCTTATGTCGGTTTGTACAACGGCATCCTGGTAGAACGTTCGAAGACCATCTTACAATACTCTGGGTACAACGTACCTCTGTATACAGACTATGTTAAGGTATGGGGCTTACGATCATCTTAGTGCTAAGATCGCTTTATTCAACTGCACACTGGTAGACAGTAGAACGGTCGAAGACCATCTTACATGGTACAACGTACCTCTGTATACAGGCTATGTTAAGGTATGGGGCTTACGATCACCTTAGTGCTAAGATCGCTTTATTCAACTGCACACTGGTAGACCGTAGAACGATCGAAGACCATCTTACATGGTACAACGTACCTCTGTATACAGGCTATGTTAAGGTATGGGGCTTACGATCATCTTAGTGCTAAGACCGCTTTATTCAACTGCACACTGGTAGACCGTAGAACGGTCGAAGACCATCTTACATGGTACAATTTACCTCTCGAAACAGACTATGTTAAGGTATTGGGCTTACGATCATCTTAGTGCTAAGATCGCTTTGTTCAACTGCACCCTGGTAGACAGTAGAACGATCGAAGACCATCTAACATGGTACAACTTACCTCTCGAAACAGACGATACTGGTACAGTAGAGTGGGCGGTGGCCAAACACCATCACCCAAGGCACATTGTCTCTGTTCTGATTGGCCTTCTTCAGATCCTGCTCCATCCACAGATACTGCGTGGAGTTGGGGCTGAAGTCGTGCTCGGTGGAGTAGGCAACGAAGTGGACGCCCATGTAATCGAAGGAGTACCAAAAGGGGGACGCCGACCCGCTCTCTTCAGATGGCATCTTCAACCAGTTCAAATAGGCCGCAAACTCAAACTGACGCTCGTGGTTGCCAGGAGCAACCATGTAGGGAACACGTGACACAATTGGTTGAAGCCGGTTCATGTACTCAACCCACACCTCGCTGTTGTTGTGGTTCTTGCCGCCGAACTTGTCAGCGTAGCTGATGTCACCGGCGTGAACGAGAAGTTGAACCTCCCCACTGTTGACATGCTTTGTAATGGACGCCATTGTGTCCTCGCCCTTCGTCACGCCCATGTCGGCCACCATTGCTATAGCCGGTGCAGCGCTTGCTATCTCAACCACGGAATTGGTATGGAGCGACTCCATATTTGCTTGTGTGGCGTTCCTAGTATTTGGTGACTGCAAAGTAAAATTTAAGATGCTGCTCCAGCCGAACTGGGGATCTCCGCATCTGTAATAGTAAATCCCCGTAGGAGACGGAACTGACGTCAGCTTCAAGATGGCGGTGTTCAGTACCCAGAGAAACATGCCGTCAGGGTAGGAATAGGCTTCACCGGTCGCGTTAACGTCAAGGGAGGTAACTGATGAACCATACATACATCCGGGTGTGTAGTCAGCGTCGCTGGACCACGTGGTCGGGTTCAGCCAGGTGACACGCATGGCTGTTGTGCCTTTCAGAGAGAGATGTACGGCTTGTACACTCGGGGAGGGATTTACTGGGAACTGTAGTTCGTAGTTCCGGTTGATTTCTTCTCTAGAGTGAAGCTGTTCCGCGATGCATCCGCCACCGATTTCATATGAGGGCAGGACATGTGACAACAGCGTCACAAACAGCAACAGCAACGCTGCCATCGTAGGCGTTCAGAGCTGTGGGGAAATGGCAATTCTTTAAACATGGTAAACATCATGTATGGTTTTGTTTGTTTTTGTTTTGGCAGCAATATTCCAGCCAGTTGATGCCCGCCTGTAAATAATCGAGTATGGACTAGACAAGCCTGTGATCGACATTATGAGCAACGTTCCTCACCTTCAGGTACGCTGACATGCAAGAAAATAAGCCACCAAGCCTGAACACCTGATCGATTAAGTCGCCTCTTACACGCATGGGTTGCTTGGGACCTCTTCCAACCAAGGAATCAAGAACTTATTCTAACCGAGGTACCAAGCACCTATTCTATCCAAGGTATCAAAGACCTAATCTAACCGTGATACCAAGGACCCATTCTAACCGAAATATCAAGGACCTACCCGAGATATCAAGGACCTATTCTATCCAAGGTATCAAAGACCTAATCCAACCGAGATGCCAAGGACCCATTCTAACCGAGATATCAAGGACCTATTCTATCTAAGGTATCAGAACTAATCCAAACGAGATACCAAGGACCCATTCTAACCGAGATATCAAGGATCTACCCGAGATACCAAGGACCTATTCTATCTAAGGTATCAGAACTAATCCAACCGAGATACCAAGGACCCATTCCAACCGAGATATCAAGGACCTACCCGAGATACCAAGGCCCTAATCCAACCGAGATACCAAGGACCTATTCTATCTAAGGTATCAGAACTAATCCAACCGAGATACCAAGGACCCATTCCAACCGAGATATCAAGGACCTACCCGAGATACCAAGGCCCTAATCCAACCCAGACACTAAGGACTCATTCTAGCCAAGGTTTAAAGGACCTATTCCAACCGAGCCTGAACAACTGATCCATTAAATCGCCTCTTACAAGCATGTGTTGCTTGGGACCTATTCCAACCAAGGAATCAAGAACCTATTCTAACCGAGGTACCAAGGACCTATTCTATTCAAGGTTTCAAAGACCTAATCCAACCGAGATACCAAGGACCCATTCCAACTGAGATATCAAGGACCTACCCGAGATACCAAGGCCCTATTCTATCCAAGGTTTAAAGGACCAAATTCAACCGAGGTTCCAAGGGCCTATTCTATCCAAGGTGCCAAGGACCTATTTCAACCGAGGTACCAAGGATCTATTCTAACCGAGGTACCAATGACCTATTCTAACCAAGATATCAAGGATCTATTCTAACTGAACTACCAAGAACCTATTCAATCGAGCTACCAATGACCTAATCTAACCGGGGTACCAGAACATATTCTAACCTATGTATCAAGGACCTATTATGACCTAGGAATCAAGGACCTATTCTAACTGAGGTAACAAGGATATATTCTAACTGAGCTACCAAGGGCCTATTTGAAACTTGGTGCCAAGGACCTATTTTAACGGAGGTACCAAGGGCCTATTCTAATCGAGGTATCAAGGGCCTATTCTAACCGAGGTTACAAGGACCTATTCTAACCGAGGTATCAAGGATATATTCTAACCGACCAACCAAGGGCCTATTCGAACAGGGTACCAAGGACCTATTCTAACCGAGCTACCAATGGCCTATTCTAACCGAGGTATCAAGGATATATTCTAACCGAACTACCAAGGGCCTATTCAAACTTGGTGCCAAGGACCTATTCTAACCGAGGTACCAAGGGCCTATTCTACCCGAGGTATCAAGGGGCTATTCTAACCGAGGTTACAAGGACCTATTCTAACCGAACTACCAAAGGCTACCAAGGGCCTATTCGAACGGGGTACCAAGGACCAATTCTAACCAAGCTGCCAAGGACCTATTCTAACCGAGGTATCAAGGATATATTCTAACCGAACTACAAAGGGCCTATTATAAGAGGGTGCCAAGGACCTATTCTAACCGAGCTACCAAGGGCCTATTCTAACCGAGGTATCAAGGATATATTCTAACCAAACTACAAAGGCCCTTTTCTAACGGGGTGCAAAGGACCTATTCTAACCAAGGTACCCAGGGCCCATTCTAACCGTGCTACCCAGTGGCTATTCTAACCGAGGTTACAAGGACCTATTCTAACCGAACTACCAAGGGCCTATTCGAACGGGGTACCAAGGAACAATTCTAACCGAGGTACCAAGGGCCTATTCTCACCGAGGTATCAAGGATATATTCTAACCGAACTACAAACGGCCTATTCTAACGGGGTGCCAAGGACCTATTCTTACCGAACTACCAAGGACCAAATCTAACCAAGCTACCAAGGGCCTATTCTAACCAAGGTATCAAGGGCCTATTCTAACCAAGGTATCAAGGGCCTATTCTAACTGAGGTACCAAGGGACTATTCTAACCAAGGTACCAAGGGCCTATTCTAACCGAGGTATCAAGGATATATTCAAACCAAACTACCAAGGGCCTATTCGAACGGGGTACCAAGGAACAATTCTAACCGAGCTACCAAGGGCCTATTCTAACCGAGGTATCAAGGATATATTCTAACCGATCTACAAAGGGCCTATTATAACGGGGTGCCAAGGACCTACTCTAACCGAGGTATCAAGGGCCTATTCTAACCGAGGTACCAAGGACCTATTCTAACCGAGGTACCAAGGGCCTATTCTACCCGAGGTATCAAGGACCTATTCTAACCGAGGTATCAAGGATATATTCTAACCGAACAACCAAGGGCCTATTCGAACAGGGTACCAAGGACCTTCTAACCGAGCTACCAAGGGCCTATTCTAACCGAGGTATCAAGGACCTATTCTAACCGAGGTATCAAGGATATATTCTAACTGAACTACAAAGGGCCTATTATAACGGGGTGCCAAGGACATATTCTAACCGAGGTATCAAGGGCCTATTCTAACCGAGGTACCAAGGACTTATTCTAACCGAGGTACCAAGGGCCTATTCTACCCGAGGTATCAAGGACCTATTCTAACCGAGGTATCAAGGATATATTCTAACCGAACAACCAAGGGCCTATTCGAACAGGGTACCAAGGACCTTCTAACCGAGCTACCAAGGGCCTATTCTAACCGAGGTATCAAGGACCTATTCTAACCGAGGTATCAAGGATATATTCTAACCGAACAACCAAGGGCCTATTCGAACAGGGTACCAAGGACCTTCTAACCGAACTACAAAGGGCCTATTCAAACGGGGTGCCAAGGACCTATTCTAACCGAGCTACCAAGGGCCTATACTAACCGAGGTATCAAGGATATATTCCAACCGAACTACAAAGGGCCTATTCTAACTGGGTGCCAAGGACCTATTCTAACCGAACTACCAAGGGCTTATTCGAACGGGGTACCAAGGACCAATTCTAACCGAGCTACAAAGGGCCTATTCTAACCGAGGTACCAAGGGCCTATTCTACCCGAGGTATCATGGGGCTATTCTAACCTTGGTTACAAGGACCTATTCTAACCGAAATACCAAGGGCCTATTCGAACGGGGTACCAAGGACCAATTCTAACCGAGGTACCAATGGCCTATTCTAACCGAGGTATCAAGGATATATTCTAACCGAACTACAAAGGGCCTATAATAACGGGGTGTCAAGGACCTATTCTAACCGAGGTATCAAGGGCCTATTCTAACCGAGGTACCAAGGGGCTATTCTAACCGAGGTATCAAGGGGCTATTCTAACCGAGGTATCAGGGATCTATTCTAACCGAGGTTACAAGGACCTATTCTAACCGAACTACCAAGGGCCTATTCGAACGGGGTACCAAGGACCCATTCTAACCGAGATACCAAGGACCTATTCTAACCGGGGTACCAGAACATATTCTAACCTATGTATCAAGGACCTATTATAACAGAGGTATCAAGGATATATTCTAACCGAACTACAAAGGGCCTATTATAACGGGGTGCCAAGGACCTATTCTAACCGAGGTATCAAGGGCCTATTCTAACCGAGGTACCAAGGACCTATTCTAACCGAGGTACCAAGGGCCTATTCTACCCGAGGTATCAAGGACCTATTCTAACCGAGGTATCAAGGGCCTATTCTAACCGAGGTACCAAGGGGCTATTCTAACCGAGGTATCAAGGGGCTATTCTAACCGAGGTATCAGGGATCTATTCTAACCGAGGTTACAAGGACCTATTCTAACCGAACTACCAAGGGCCTATTCGAACGGGGTACCAAGGACCCATTCTAACCGAGGTACCAAGGACCTATTCTAACCGGGGTACCAGAACATATTCTAACCTATGTATCAAGGACCTATTATAACAGAGGTATCAAGGATATATTCTAACCGAACTACAAAGGGCCTATTATAACGGGGTGCCAAGGACCTATTCTAACCGAGGTATCAAGGGCCTATTCTAACCGAGGTACCAAGGACCTATTCTAACCGAGGTACCAAGGGCCTATTCTACCCGAGGTATCAAGGACCTATTCTAACCGAGGTATCAAGGATATATTCTAACCGAACAACCAAGGGCCTATTCGAACAGGGTACCAAGGACCTTCTAACCGAGCTACCAAGGGCCTATTCTAACCGAGGTATCAAGGACCTATTCTAACCGAGGTAGCAAGGATAGATTCTAACTGAACTACAAAGGGCCTATTATAACGGGGTGCTAAGGACCTATTCTAACCGAGGTATCAAGGGCCTATTCTAACCGAGGTACCAAGGGCCTATTCTAACCGAGGTATCAAGGACCTATTCTAACCGAGGTATCAAGGATATATTCTAACCGAACAACCAAGGGCCTATTCGAACAGGGTACCAAGGACCTTCTAACCGAGCTACCAAGGGCCTATTCTAACCGAGGTATCATGGACCTATTCTAACCGAGGTATTAAGGATATATTCTAACCGAACAACCAAGGGCCTATTCGAACAGGGTACCAAGGACCTTCTAACCGAACTACCAAGGGCCTATTCAAACGGGGTGCCAAGGACCTATTCTAACCGAGCTACCAAGGGCCTATACTAACCGAGGTATCAAGGATATATTCTAACCGAACTACAAAGGGCCTATTCTAACGGGGTGCCAAGGACCTATTCTAACCGAACTACCAAGGGTCTATTCGAACGGGGTACCAAGGACCAATTCTAACCGAGCTACAAAGGGCCTATTCTAACCGAGGTACCTAGGGCCTATTCTACCCGAGGTATCATGGGGCTATTCTAACCGAGGTTACAAGGACCTATTCTAACCGAAATACCAAGGGCCTATTGGAACGGGGTACCAAGGACCAATTCTAACCGAGGTACCAATGGCCTATTCTAACCGAGGTATCAAGGACCTATTCTAACCGAGGTATCAAGGATATATTCTAACCGAACAACCAAGGGCCTATTCGAACAGGGTACCAAGGACCTTCTAACCGAGCTACCAAGGGCCTATTCTAACCGAGGTATCAAGGACCTATTCTAACCGAGGTAGCAAGGATAGATTCTAACTGAACTACAAAGGGCCTATTATAACGGGGTGCTAAGGACCTATTCTAACCGAGGTATCAAGGGCCTATTCTAACCGAGGTACCAAGGACCTATTCTAACCGAGGTACCAAGGGCCTATTCTACCCGAGGTATCAAGGACCTATTCAAACCGAGGTATCAAGGGCCTATTCTAACCGAACTACCAAGGGCCTATTCGAACGGGGTACCAAGGAACAATTCTAACCGAGCTACCAAGGGCCTATTCTAACCGAGGTATCAAGGATATATTCTAACCGAACTACAAAGGGCCTATTATAACGGGGTGCCAAGGACCTATTCTAACCGAGGTATCAAGGGCCTATTCTAACCGAGGTACCAAGGACCTATTCTAACCGAGGTACCAAGGGCCTATTCTACCCGAGGTATCAAGGACCTATTCTAACCGAGGTATCAAGGATATATTCTAACCGAACAACCAAGGGCCTATTCGAACAGGGTACCAAGGACCTTCTAACCGAGCTACCAAGGGCCTATTCTGACCGAGGTATCAAGGACCTATTCTAACCGAGGTAGCAAGGATAGATTCTAACTGAACTACAAAGGGCCTATTATAACGGGGTGCTAAGGACCTATTCTAACCGAGGTATCAAGGGCCTATTCTAACCGAGGTACCAAGGACCTATTCTAACCGAGGTACCAAGGGCCTATTCTACCCGAGGTATCAAGGACCTATTCTAACCAAGGTTACCAGGACCTATTCTAACTGAACTACCAAGGGCCTATTCGAACTGGGTACCAAGGACCCATTCTTACCGAGGTACCAAGGACCTATTCTAACCGGGGTACCAGAACATATTCTAACCTATGTATCAAGGACCTATTATAACAGAGGTATCGAGGACCTATTCTAACCGAGCTACCATGGACCTATTCGAACGGGGTACCAAGGACCTATTCCAACCGAGGTATCAAGGACCTATTCCAACGGAGGACCTATTCTAAGTTCTAATCGTGTTACCAAGGATCTAACTACACCCCACACATCACAGAACTAACACTGTTAACTGCATTAACACATTCAGCTGAACAATCATTCTGACGTTTGAGCTTGAAGATCACACATAAACACATCTCAAAGGTCGGGTCTATCGATCTGCTGAATACCGGTGAAAATTTACTTTAACGCCGCTTGGAACACTATTTCAGTGATCTCCCCGGGTTGTTTTTTATATGCAACGAGACACGCCGTCGGAGTCCGCTGACACACAATCAACAAAGTCACCGATCCTGACCACCGATACAGTACGTTGCCTCCTACGAGCAAGGACCCGTTCCACAAAGCGATCTCAGCGCCACGATTATCGTAAGTCTATGTTAAAGTAAAGAGTTGCGATCGCCTTAGCGCTAAGGTCGCTTTGTGGAACGGGGCCCTGTACAGGTTGCTGGAGACATACTCCCAACTGGGGAACTAAGTGAATCAAGATATTGCACGGCATGGCTACATGACAATTTCAAATTGACCAGTTTATGTTCTCACTAAACTTACCAGCAATGTCGAGTGTACGGAGTTTCAACAACAGGATGCAGTTGTATGTGTGTAAGCGTCCTCACAATACAACGCACTTCCGATTTCTTGTATTAAGTGTCGGTTTGAATCACTCGAGTGAATTATAAATACACAGCCTTTATACTTACATTAATATATACAGTCCTAGATGTGGAGCTGAATGTTGTGTTACACTGTTAGTGGGTTATCGAGTGATGTACGTGGCTGCTGGTGATAGCAGGATAACGGTATTGTCACATGATGATAGTGTGACGTTTTAAAGCATTCAACAGTCCGGATAGTTCTGCAAACATATCAATAAAGTGTGAAAAAGACCAGTCATTTATCAAGAATAAACAGATTTTCCAACAATCCCTTCCCTTTCCCATAACCAACACATACACACGTATGTCCAGATTCAACAGTCCAGATAGTCGTGCAAACATATCAATAAAGTGTGAAAAGGACCAGTCATTTATCAAGAATAAACAGATTTTCCAACAATCCCTTCCCTTTCCCATACCAACACATACACAGGTACTTTTTAGCGGGTTAACACTAGTTCCTCATAACAATTACTTGTCGTAAGATACGACTGTAATGGATCAGGTGGCCAGGCTCGTTGACATGTTTTGTGTAAACTTTGTCATCTGTGGTAAATATTGATTAAATTGTACCGTCAGTGACCTTCCTGACAGAGGTGTACTCATTCGTGACCGACTCGTCCAATTCCGGGACGGCGTCACCGTTTCTGATATTCGTATAATGACTTATTGCCTAGTTCAACTATGATCAATGGAGGAATGAGTGAGTGAGTTGTTTTTAACGCCGCTTTTAACAGTATTCCAGTCATATCACGGCGTATCAACGTTATGAGGGAGGAAAGCCCAAAGTGATGCAGGACTTAGACGTTTACCACTTCGGTGAAACCCACGAGCACGAGTATGGTGCTGACAAACTAAGAAACATAACCGGTGCGAACCGGGATTCGAACCCACAATCATAGGTTTCTGGCTTGCCCAAGGGACACAACTCTGCACGGCGAATTGCGGCGCCTTAGACGACTGGGCCACCTGCCCCCAATGTCGGAATGAAGTCCACGTCACTGCTGATAGGGATCTGTACCATACTGACATTAACAGTTGGCAACCGATCTCGAGGAGTATACTCGGACCCCATGGTACCGCGGCATTCATCGTATCGCGGCATTTGTGATTTCCGGTAGTTCACGCGGGACACGCCTCTTAGCGGCTGTCTATTAATGCTAATCAGTAACCAGGAAGTGCTCACTTCGTAAACAATTTCAATTTCCTCGGAATGTTCCGTCTGCTGTAAGTAAGGAGTTATTAATGCGTTGATAAATATTTCTGGCATCTGTTGTAATATTGCCTTACCCCCATCTATCAATGGCCAACGATATAACCCGCAGTTCCCCAAGTAAACTTTCTCTATCGACCTGAACTAGATCATCTGCATATTCATGGCGACTAATGAGGTAACGGAAGTTACGTAGTCCGCACATTTTTTCCCGCTCTGCGCCCAGAATCTATTGGAAGATAATAAGGGCTATAATTCCAAACTTAGAAATACGTTCTTCACTAGTAACCAAAAGATAAATACATACTTAGGGCAAAATAGGAGTGCTTTTTATATATTTATTGTTGACTTTTAACGTTTTTCCATTTTGTGACAAATTATTGTCATCCAATCTTAAAATATCATTTCTGATATTTTGATGTTGACTTATAAAAAATATTTTTCTCTTACTTTTCGGTAAATATGCATTGAATACCTATTGCTGATAACACATTTCGAATTTTACTTGTGCTGTCTTTGCACTTGTCTGGACAAATCACTGATATCTGGCATGATCATACTAAGTGGTTGGTAGAATTATGTCCTCTTTTTGTCAAATTCGGACCTCCATACACAACTTTTCTCTGTACCGCGATACGATGGAGTTCTCTCCCTTGTCAAACTGAGCGCGAGGCCCGGCTTTTACTCGGAGCTACTGATGTAAATAATGAACTTTTATCAGTAAAATATGCATAGTTTGATAACATGAATGATATCTGATACAGAGAACACGAATAATCATAACGGTTAGTGAGTGCATTTTGTTCCGCTCAGCGTACATGACAAGTACCGCGATACCCCGAGGTTGCAGGCTATTTGGTGTGATGTGATGTATGTGAGCCTATCTACCCCGAGCCGAACCGGGATCGGCTGACAACGAACTTATCTCACTGACATTCATTCATACAGACCCGGAACAGATATATGTCCGAAGTTTTTAACAAGCAAAACGCTTTGATTCAGCCATTTTGACAGCTAGCAGACGACGCAAACCGAAGTACTTCCCACAATGCAATCGCATTAACATCGGTTCATTTCAGCTCAACTATACTTATGCGAGATAAGCAAGTTACACAAGGTGTTCCGATTGTTTTCTCAGCTGGGTATATGAGCGGGCAACATGGAAAATAAGTGCCTGCACCGTAACCAAGCAGAAGTTATTATATTAATGTAAGGCGATATAAAGGTTTTTATATAGTTTATAACAATCTGTACCTCCACTGAGAAGCTTTTATATTAATCAACTGAAGTACGTCTTTACAAACATGGTAATAACGTATTTTTATCTGGTCAGTTTTCAGAAACATCTACCCCCAATACAATAATATGTCATACCTGACACAATGTTTTTTTATATAGTTCCCGATCCTGGGATTTGAATTCACATACAGCACGAATTCGTAAGTGATTGGTACTCCCTACCAATTTGGCCATTGGTGCTTTGTGCACAGGAGGAAATATTTGGAAATCATACTTGGAATATATTAGAATTATTATTTGGAATATGTAATTTTATAAGCTTTTTTATACTTAGTAAATTGATCATAAACTGAAATGTGCAATCGCGCCTGAACGGTTTTATGAAAATACTTATTGTCCTGTTATTGATGAAAGAAACCGCTGGGTGCCCGTTGTTATCGGGAGAAAGATGTAATGCACGTGCAAAATGGACTACGCGCCGGTCCACATCTGTGTATGGGGGACAAAGCAGCCAATATTTTATTTTGCTCGATATTTGACATATTTTCTCAATGTATTCTGACATTTCTTTTATCCTTATCGATATCTAATACCCCGTTCACATGCACAACGTGTTACACGTGTAAACTATACATACGTGTGTATATGTACATTTACTGTGTGTTCACTAAAATAACTAAGTTGTGTAAATAGGGAAGGTATATGGTGTAAGGCACACATTCATCAGTCTGAATACACATTGCCTTTTAAAACGTGGAAAACTGTAACAAATGTCATCTTGGGGATAACACTTTCCTTGCTCAAAATCTAGAACCATTTTGGTTGAGTAGCATCCAGGATTCGAACCCAGTCTCAGATTGAGACACCAAATCGCAACAGCGCTCAAGGCAGCGATTTACCCACTCTGCCACCGAGGCTTCCTTAAAGTGGAAGCCCGACAACTTGTTTTCTAGAGCACGTACTTTGTGTACCCCTCTGACGAGTGTAAATTGGCACGGCTCCCATGGCCAAAAACTATGAGAGAAAGTATTATCCCAAATATAACATTTGTTACATTTAACTACTTTCTAAAGGCATTGTGTGTTCATAGCTTTCGGCCCCGGGAGCTGTGCCAATTTACACGTATCAGAGGGGTTTCATCAGAGACCATATAATAGATTATATGGTCTCTGGTTTCATACATAGATCTATGCATGGAGAGTGACAAAACACACTCCACAAGAATGTTGACAAGGGGGTGACTTCACATCAAGCTTGACGCATCAGTGACATGAGTGATGTCCGATGCAATTCCCTATTTTGACTTGTGTCATGTGTTCCCGTCTTTTTAAGTGAACCATTTACTTGCCCTTGCATGTGTTTGTGACAGGTGCCACCGCGGTGGGGCAGGGTACGCTTACCTATTCGCGAACACCTGGTATCGAATAGAGATTTATAAACGCATGCTCATGACACAGTCGGAATCGTACGGTCGATTTTTGGCAGAGATTTCGTATGAATATGGAGGTGGCTATGTCGTTTTTATTTTCATTCATAGGTCTGTTCACAACTCTCGCCATTAAAAGGTTATTTCCAATCAGGGTGTTTGAGAAGAGTGTTACCTTACTATGTTTGTGTAATCTGAACACAAATGTTTGACTCCTTGAAACCCAAAGAAAACACTGTCCGCCCATCTCTGAATGTCCCATAAATGTTTGTATTGCTGTATACAGAACAGCGTCAACTTCAGAATACAGAACCACTGTCAATTTGTTTGTTAGCAAATCAACAGATATATGTTGACATAAACGTTCACGTGAACATATACATGTACATAGGCAAACAGTGCACTTGTGTAAATTTACATTTGCACTTCCTCCACACATGGCGCAAATTTAGTCTTGGGTAAATACACACACGAGTAAACGTGTTCACATGACACGTATACTCACGTATGTATATTTACACACGTATGCAAATATACACACATGTGTATAGAGGTGCATGTGTACGCGGTATAAGTTGGATAACACACTCCTCCGCGGTTATGGTCGGGATTGTAGTTGGTTGGTTTGTTGTTTAACGCCGCACTCAGCAATATTCCACCTATATGACGGCGGTCTGTAAATAATCGAGTCTGGACCAGACAATCCAGTGATTAATATCATGAGCATCGATCCACGCAATTGGGATAGATGACATGCATCAACCAAGTCAACGAGCCTGACCGGCGAGCGAGCCTGACCACCCGATCCCGTTAGTCGCCTTTTACGACAAGCAAAGTCACCTTTTACGGCAAGCATGGGTTGCTGAAGACCTATTCTACCCCAGAATCTTCATGGGTCGTCAGGATTGTAAGACGCGAGGAAAGAAAGCTGAAAGAAACTTTGCCTTCGCTTACTTGCCCTCATCTTTGTCTGGTCTTAGGATCCCAAGCATAACCCGGAGTCCACATCTTATACATATTTCCCTACTATTTTGCAAGTCACAATTTGAAATTAACTGCACGCTTATTTCCATTTACGTATTAGGCGATTACCGTTTTTACTAATTAGGCAATTACGGTTAAAGACATTTTCAAAATATCACCCTAATCTCTTCATTCATGTATTTGTTTCCTTCTTAATGGGGGTCACACCAAGAAAGTTAAACAAGTTCATTAACACAGACAAAATAGTCAATGGCGTCTAACCCGTTCCTAACATAACAACAAAGACAATCGACCTAAACAAGCTTATTTACATAAAGAAAGAGTCAAACCAGTTCACTCACATAAAACACTGTCAATCCAGTCGAAATCCGAAATCTCAAAAAAGGGCCAAAATTAGAGTGGGTGAGTGAGTGAGAGTGGGTGGAGTGAGTGCGAAAGACATCCCGCCGCCCATAAAGTACATGCAGCGTCTCTACGGTGTTGCATATGTTAGTTATGAAGTCTGACAACAGAAATGTCGATTTAATTATTGATTTCGGATAACCACATTCACAACGCTTACCACAGGCTTGAGGATGCGGAGTATGGACGACAGATACCTTGAAGACGCTGGTGCTGAAACAGGCTGCAGATCATAGATGTAAAGTGTACATGTTTATACTGATCCCCAGTCCCTGCTACGGGATTAGGAAACCCTCACCACAAGATTCCTATCACGAGTTCTGCCTGTGTGAATCAGATAACATGAAACAATCACATGGCACTACATCGGGGAAAGTCGTGTTCGGGGAGATAGGATGACTGTATGAATCGACAGGTTATATTTTATGGCTGCTTCGTTTGGTAATTGGTGGCACAACCCCGTAACAAGGGTACATGTTTCGGATAAAATATATCACTGCAATGACTATAGCAACACATCCGATCGGCATGTAACGATATGTTAAGTGTACTGGGCGACGGCGTGAGAGATCAAAACTAAGACCATATCCACTTGGCCTACGTGCAACGTGCACCTGCAAACAATGTCTTTCTGGTTAGGTACTGAAATGCCAAAATTCTTTGTAAGTTGATTATACAGTCAAAGAACCCTATGTTAATCATTGTGAACATTGTTGTGAAGTAGATATCAAGATGATATCAAGGCCTCTACATGTGATATCAAGATAACACTGAACCTACTGTGAAGTTTTTTTCTTTACTGACATTATGCCTTATAATTCCCGTTGAAGATTTCCTGCATCGGGGGGGGGGGGCTTTTCTCGAACTTTACAAAACTCGATCTGTCCTATTTGCTGTTTTTAATTAACCAGGTATCGATGCTGGTTGTTGGGTTCCACAGACTAGATTTTGCAGTTTCCACCTTTCGTAGTTGTGTGTGCTTTGCGATATGTTTTTGAAAGGGCAATAAAACATAACTATTTTCTTCCTCATTTTTAATACGAAGATCGTGTATTTTATGTTCAGCGTTATTTGCAATGTACTTCCTATAGTTACCACTGCCTGATGTCCACTTCGCGTATGCCTTAGCGTTGTATTTTGCACCGCGGGTACAACTGAGATTTTGTGTCTATACAATAGGGGCAATCAGTTATTGCTATGGTAATTTCCATCATGATACTAGTCAACATGGGAAAGTTGTGTTTGAATAACTTAATTTATCCAAATCCATGTTTTTGGGTATATATTTGCAAATTTCGTAACACCAGGAACCTGAAGTTATGCTTAAATCAAACGCCCCTCTCTCTCTATAAATAAACACCATGCATAGGATCCTGTGGAACTGTAAAACAATGAAATTGTATGCCTTCTTTTAACCACCAAACGCCAAACTCTACATATAAATATACACCATAGGAAACTGAAGAACTGATTAAAACACAGGAAGTGTATGCCGGTTAAAATATCAACCACTCCTCTCTAAATATATGTATTAATATTGAGAGTCTGGGGCGTTTGGCAGTATAAATGACATACAATTTCATTGTGGGTGTGGAATAACACTTTGTCCGTATATGTATTAATTTTGAGAGTCTGGGGCGTTTGGCAGTATAAATGACATACAATTTCATTGTGGGTGTGGAATAACACTTTGCCCGTATATGTATTAATATTGAGAGTCTGGGGCGTTTGGCAGTATAAATGACATACAATTTCATTGTGGGTGTGGAATAACACTTTGTCCGTATATGTATTAATTTTGAGAGTCTGGGGCGTTTGGCAGTATAAATGACATACAATTTCATTGTGGGTGTGGAATAACACTTTGCCCGTATATGTATTAATATTGAGAGTTTGGGGCGTTTGGCAGTATAAATGACATACAATTTCATTGTGGGTGTGGAATAACACTTTGCCTGTCTGTTGTAAGGGCTTCACCATATTTATCGATCAAGGCCATAGATATACAGTACGTACTGAAATATAGACTAAATATAGTCACCAGGCTGTGGAAATCCAAGTATTTCTTTCAGAAAAGTCATTACGACACCTCTTCATGTGATTTTGCGCGCACATGAGAAAAGTGCGACAAAGGGAGGTAACTCTAATTTACATGTCACTCTTCATTGGAGGAGAAAAAGTGAACATTTCATGTGGTCGTGTCTTTTTGAGCAAAATCATTGAGAGTATTATTTTGTCTTTCATCTATACACCGAGGCCCAAATATGGCCACTACGCCAGTAAAACGCAATGTTAATAAACCGGTAGCAAACGGAACAGACACCGTATCGATTGTATCGAAAGCTTTTACACAGGATGCCGAGTGGACGGACAAGGTTTGTGAAACTTGAAATTCGTGCTGTTTGGCTTGGTCATGCCGCAATTCACGACACATTAAAACTAGTACAGGGAAAGTTCCTATTTGCTTCTTTACTTGTCCGAATAATGATACCCGATAAGCAACCTGTTGCAACAATTAAGTTGTTACTGGCCTAATCGTGTTAAACATTACCGGTTTTATCACTAGCTGTTCAGCACATTTTCGCATGCGCAGGCCGTGGAGATGCAGTGTGTAGGCCATCATGTTAAACTTTGAGTGAGGTGCATTTATTTTGCCCTTTGGTTGATTTCGTAGCAGTTTAAATCAGGGAGTGGGATAGCCAAGTGGTTAAAGCATTCACTCGTCACCCGGGGTCGATTCTCCTCATGGGTACAATGTGCGAAACCCATCTCTGGTGCCCTGGTATTGCTGGAATATTGACGAACCATACTCACTCTCTCACCAACGTTTAGAATGTGATAGTAACTACTATGCATTTAATGCATATTATATTATATATCTTGAGTACTGTAGCCTGTTATTCATGATATTACAGGTCTGTAATTGAATAATAAGCATGACATTCTGAAAACACAATATTCATTTTGCTATTGGACATTGTAGAAGCAGATATCCTTTTGGAACTTTACGAGTTTAGTAGCAAAGGTCGATTTCTGTCGTATGTAACCACTGTGTCAGTATGTGCTTACAACATGTACAGTAACATGATGATGCTTGCTTCTTTCAGGGCGAGTTTCTAGACGTGGTCTACTGGTTGCGACAGATCCTCGGTGTTGTAATCGGACTGATCTGGGGCCTGATTCCTCTCAAGGGTCTAGTCGGTCTTGGACTGTAAGTCTTCTTATACAGTTGTACCCTGGCTCAGCATTACCCTTTACATGCATTAAGATGTTAAGGTGTTGTTTAGAAAGTCTGCCCTCTTCATTTTAAATGAGATTGACAGTAGTTAGTACCCATTCGAACTTGTGAATCCCCAGGTTTGTTTCATAAATCATGCAAATTGTTCTTCTCTGTTGACAGCTTTTTCATCATCAATGTGGCCATCGTCTACATCTACTACAACAGCTTCCAGAAGGTGGATGAAGAGGAGTATGGAGGAGCGTCAGAGATTTTAAAAGAAGGATTAATGACATCATTTTCTTCATTTTTGGTAAATATTTATTTGCTCATGGCTTTGAAATATTGTTTGTTTGATGTTTAATGCTGAACTCAATCATATTACAGGTATATGACATTGGTCTCTTAGTTAAAGAGTTTTGCACAGAAAAGATACTGATTAATATAACAAACAATGATCCACGCCATCAAGGTACAATGACATGCAATCAACCAATCACTGAGTCTGACCACTGAATCTATTGTCGCCCTGTATGATCATCATAGGTTGCTGGGGACCAATTCTAACCCCTCAGGGGATGGTTGGGTGGCCTAGTGGTTAAAGCGTTAGCTCGTCACGCCGAAGACCCAGGTTCGATTCCCGACATGGGTACAATGTGTGAAGCCCATTTCTGGTGTCCCTCGCCGTGATATTGCTTGAATATTGCTAAAAGCGGCATAAAACCATACGCACTCACTCCACCCTGGAATCCCCTGGGACAGAAATGTGATGGCAAGTGGATACTGACCTGTGAGGTAACCAGAGTTGGTTGCCTGTCTGATACATGTAATCAAGTGGCATCCTAATTCGTTGTGCAGAGTTGGATCCCTTGCCATGCAAGGATCTGCTGGTCATGGGTACAAATTCTCTGTGATTATATTTTTCAGCTACGAGGTTAACATCTATAACCTGTGTCACTTTGGGTTTACCTTCAATATTAATTGACATTGTGTGATGTGAGTCATTGAGATCCAGGGTAGAATAGGTCTTCAGCAACCCATGCTTGCCGTAAAAGGCAACTATACCTGTCGTAAGAGACGACTAACAGGATCAGGTGGTCAGGCTCGCTGACTTGGTTGATGCATTTTATCGTATCCCTATTGCGTGGGTCGATGCTTATGATGTCAATCACTGGATTGTCTGGTCCAGACTCGATTATTTACAGACCACTGTCATATAGCTGTAATATTGCTGAGTGCGGTGTTAATCAACAAACAAACAAATATAAGTCATTGATCAATATCTACAGTCAAGTCTCATTAACCCGACACTAGTCAATCCGACAATCGGGTTTATCTGACACAAATGATGGGAACCGATTAAATCAGTGCTATTAAGACTATTTGCTATTAATCCAACAGCCTCACACTCCGACTCCGACGCACATAATTTGCAACGAATTGCTGAAATCACTCTTTAATCAGTCTCGTTAATCCGTCACAGTGATCCGCGTACTCTGTGGTCATCTGCCCGCGAGTACACAGCCCCGTGTTTTGATGCGAGACAAGTCGGCGAGTATCTGTATATTTCAATGGCTGCAGAAATAAACTTGCTTAACAATAAACAGTTACTGCTTAACAATAAACAAAACAGGATTAATCACATGCCTAGATTACCTCAATCTCATTAAAATCGAATACAAGTTCTCGCTCCCGAAAGACCTTTCGCAAACTTTGACCGACCAATGAAATTACTAACAGGAAGTCGACATTAGCCACTAAGAAAGCAGCTTTCTTAAGTATTGCTGCACTAGTTTCAAATTGGGGACTTCCATTCCAGACTATGCCTTAAAAAGTATTTTGAATCAGTCATTCAGTCCATAACAGTAGTTTTGTGTTAAACTTTAGAGGTTGCATGATTAGAAGTCATATTCCGCTAATAATGTAACACAAGAATATGAATATTTCATTTTTTAATTTTTTATTACAACATGTTTGAATCGCGGTTAAAGAAAGGGACTTCTGATCATCGTAAGATCACCTCATGGTACTACTTAGTTTCCCTGTTTGGGTTTGTCTAGCAATGTGATCTGTAGCAATGAATCAAGGTGTCATCATTTCCAACTTTCAGTATTTCTATGCTGTGTGTTGCAGGTATCATGGATCATCCTGTATTCGTCCCTCCACACGGACTCCTAGCACCCACCAAACCCGGCTTCATACCATCCTACAACACAGCCAGGCCACATCTACCACACCACACTGATGCTTCTCATTTCATCATACAAGGTGTAAATTTACTGTGGAATATAAACAGAATCTGTACATTTGGAAAACTGTCAGCTCGTTAACGTTTATACTGACACGGTTGGATGTACACAAAGATAGATTTAGAAGTACATTCACAAGGGTTGAAGGTTGTATGATTGATTGAAATATTAATAGTAAGTTTTGTACAAGGGTACTACAGTTAGTGAGGGAGTGGTACCCTTGCTCCTGTCTCTCCTCAGTTAGTGTTGACATTTGCAGGAAGCAGAGGATGTTGGCTGTGAATATTTATTTGCAGAGTTGTGCAATATCAGGTGTACCATAACTTAAGCCTTGTGTCAGCATCCCTCTTCGTAACCAGACCAAAATATGACCATTTTACAAAAAAAAGAGAGATTTTGAAAAATAAAAGACTGCATTTGTCATGCATTGGGATATGACATGGAGCCATCATTCTGATTACAGTTTCCTTAATTTCATGGAACACAGAATCCCTTTTTACTTTCTGATAGCAAAATGGAATTGTTTTGGTTTTTTAATCAGAACTTTGGATTTCTGTGGTGACAATAATGAAGTACTCCAGTGCATATCGTGTGATGGCACCGGTGTATCGTTTCAGCCCTAAATCTGTTCCTATGATTTGGCTCTAGTTACAGTAGCAAATGATCTACAAAAGGTTGATTTCCTCCTGATCTGAGGACACAGTATAGAAACCAGCATATAATACAGGCAGGGGCTGTTTTATGGATGCTTTCTAAGGGACATCATCGAACACCTGGGGTTCACTTACTCTGTCTTCAGGTGGCAGAGTAGCTTTGTGGTTGAAGCAATCACTCATCACCCTGAAGGCCCATGTACAATTCCCGCCATGGGTACAGTGTGTGAAGCCCACTGCTGGTGTCCCTGTCTTTGCTGGAATATTGCTGGAAGTGGTGTAAAACAATGCTTGCTCTTATTCCCTTCACACCCACCTGGCATATAAGGCTATACGCTGTAACCTTTGGAAAATAGTCTCACCTGTCTTAGACAATCACAATGAATTTAATTGTAAACTTTTGAAACAATCAGAACTCTCCTTTTATAATGTGTCATGGATGTCAAAATAACTTAAATCTAAAATCTACTATCTCTAGCAATCCAAACATGAAACTTATAACTGTTGTTCTCCACTTTTTACAGGGTCACTTCTGAATAGCTAGTAGCAGGAAAGAACAAAACACTGCCTTTCAAAGGTTGTGCATTGTAATTTGAATATATCTGCACTAACAAAAAAAAACGAGTTGACCGTCATATAAACTGTGGCGCTATTGATTGGCCTGTGGAAGAGTTCCTTCTCCTTCCCGATCATTGTCATGGAGTGCTGTGAAAAGTTTGATTGGTTGACTCCTTAAATAAAGAAATACAATCCACATGGCCTGTGGAAGAGTTCCTTCCCTTTGCCATTCAATTTCAAGGCTTGCTATGAAAAGGTTGATTGGTTTACTGTTTGCCAAAGACATGGTTGTATTTAATATGTAACTAACTTGTCTCATCCCTGGGGTGGGTGTGAAGTGTATAGTGAACAGCAGAGTTTGGAGAATGAACACATTCTAACACACATGTAGTAGCCTAGATTGGTGCCAGAAAGACTTACTTTTGACTTATGACCTGGTTACTTATACTGGATATCTAACAGGAGGCCTGCACAGTGTTCAGCTTACAGGATGTTTTATCATTATCAGTTTTCCAGTATGATTTTATGTTCCAGCAAGACTATAAATTGTCCTTTCTGAATGTTGATGATCAGCCTGTTGGAGCTGTGCATGTCATGGGATCCATCTGTAAAGATGATACTGATGAAATTACAACTTATTTTGGGGTGGTAACTAAAACGTACATTAGTCTGTGCAGAGTTGCATCCCTTAGATGTGCCAGGGTCCTATGATCATTTTTTCAAAGTCCAGATTCACCCTGATTATGATGCTTGGTTGGTTAGCACCATGCCTATAGGTTTCGCCAAAATGTTCAATTGCTAAGAACTGCATCACTTCCTCCTCTGTCAAACTGACACTCCTTGATATAACTAGGAAACTGTTCGAAGCAGAGACATGCCTGTCTCACTCACTTACTCACTAGTGTATGTGTGGATGGGCGTCCCAGTGGTGTAAGTAATCGCAACTCTTTGTGCAGAGTTGCCTCCCTTTACTGGCAGGATCTGCAGATGATCCTGATAATGATCTGGTATGTCTGCACCATAACCATATATTTGGTTTCACCCAGGTGTTGGTGCCCAGAACCTGCCTCGCTGTGTTTTCTCCACTAATCAGTCGCGGTGCAGCGAAATAACGGAAATACTGTTAGCAGCTGTGTCAAACTTCAGATCTCCCTCCCTGTTCCTCTCAAATCCATTCAAGATACTTGTATATGTTTACTCGATATTCAACATTTCCTTGATGTGGCTGATGGTAAAGTCTCGGAAACAAACATGCATAATTCTTGCAGTAAAGAAAAGTGAAAGTAGGATGTTCAAATGCAAAGATACCAGTCAACATTTCTAGATGAAAAACACATGCATTTGGCACAGGATTATTAAACCCTTTGTTCAACTCAATAATAGGGCTGAACTGAAACCCGTTTCTTTTCTATATGTCTTTTTTGGCACTGAATACTACAAGTACTGGTATATACAGTCAAACGCTGTTGTGTCAAACTTGAAGCGACCTAAGTAAATACTTTGAGAAGTAAACACAACCGAAAATAATGAATAAAGAAGGAATATGTCAGGCTTTTAGTTCGAGACAACCATAAGTGCGACACACAACAGTGTTTGACTATACTTTAATGATCAATATCAGTTATTATCCTATCTTTGGTAAGATTCATAGTTTCATGTTTTGCCAGTGAGCGTCACCTCAATTTTGCTTAGGTTTAAAGGTAAAGCTTGTGCACTATTGAACAATGTTTCCAAACATAGTTGCTTTTAAGTAGTTTTTGTGAATTTTTGTGAAAGTATAATAAGTCATCTCACAACTACACTCAAACATGCACTTTAAAAGTTAATTTTTGCATTTATTTATTTTGATTTTGATAACCCCTGTCCCTACTTCTTGTTGTGATGACCAAGACAAGTCTGTAAAACATTATAAATTGGTCTTGGTTAAGTCAGTTGTGATGACTCCATACACTGTTCTGTCTGTCATGTTGTGCTCTGTGTAACTTGCTGTCTATATCTTGACCACACCATGTCTGTTTTTCTTGTTAAATCTGTGCCATTACTGACCAGTGGTCATCAATGGTCATTTCAGAATGGTCAACTTTATCCATCATCCCAAAGTTAACGTAAAATTATATTTGTTCTGCTGTGTTTGCCTTTTAATTTAGAGGAAGTCATCAAGCTAACATACAAGTCACTGCTTAATCCCAAGACAAGGTTTACATCATCCTTTTGTTTAGCATCGCAATGGCTTCCAGCCTTTAGGTTGTTGTCTCGCATGTTCTGCAACATTATATACTACTCTAAAAAGTTAAAGGACCATCCGATTCTTTTGCATTACTGTAGTTAAGCTGTTATGTCATGACATAAACTATGCCATGACAGATTAACTATAGAAGTGACTGTTTTTTACTTCTTTTGAGTCTTATATAACACTAGTGTTGTATGGAAAAAGGGAATTCCATAGTGAAATATTGGGTCACATGTTACTTTAGGTAATGCAGCCTAAGGGTATCGCTTGATGGCTTCCTTTAAACCAGTCAACTGTGGTTCCACAGTATTGGAAAGCAATACAATGTTTTTTGTATCCGCCTCTACACTCAATATCTTAGAATGTAAAATAGATCAATTTGTTTCCAGTGGTATGTGGTGTTTTGGAGGAAAATTATTGTTAATTTCTTGTTGTCAGACCTTATGAAACTGCCTTAAGCAGCCAGATGCATCATCTTCCGACTGATATTGTTCCAGTTGCGTATCATCACATAAATATATTCATGTGTATATGTATTTTAATAAACCCAGATTATCATATTAAATCCTGTATTTTTGTGGTTGAAGGGAGACAACTCCTTCGTGCGTTAGCGTTACTTCACCTTCAGTGAATAGTTGCATCTATACATGCTGTAGGTACGAAAATAAATGAATTAGATTTTATTTATTAGAACATGGAATATTTCTTGGTTCTTGGGTTCTTGGAATATGAGAATTGTAATACTAGTACCTTAGAAAAGAAAATGTTGGGTTTCATTTAATGAACCATCATGTCATTTAACTAATATCACAGTGGATGCCGCCTCCATGATGTATCTTCCCGAGGCAAGAGAATTAACTGACTATTAAAGTCCAGTTTCCACCCTTGCCGAACTAGGCTGGTATTATGGAGTTACATTGTGGCTGGACTTAAGAGTCTATGCATAAGTCCAATCAAAATCGCGCACCGAAATCGAAATCCGGTTCGTAAACTGTCGTGCAGATTTCGATCGATTGCAGGATTTGCAAAGCATGTGAACCGCCAACTCGTTGCGAAGAAATATTTTCCAAATCTTTTCATGATTTTAATCAAGGTGCTCACGTGATTTGATGCATTTCGCGATGTAAGACCCGTTTTATCACAATATAGATCTTGATTATCGACCAGATCGTCCTGATTTGGCGCCTCCATTTTGTGTGAAGCAAACGCAAGTGATACGAGAGGTGGAATCTGATTGGTCCATAGGAGAGGCTTAGAAGGGACATAACTGGTAATAGCCAGTGGTGGCGCTACGATCTAGCCCAGTAATTCCAGCCTAGTTCGGCAAGGATGGAAACTGGACTTTTATAGTCAGTTAATTCTCTTGCCTCGGGAAGATGCCATGATGTAGAGGATACAACGTCTACCTGGAGACCGGAAGGTCGGTGATTCGATCCCGGCCGTATCATACCAAAAGATGTTAAAGATTATTAATGGTATTATGACATTAGGGTGTAAAACAAGGACTGGTCGGGTCGTAGTCCGTATAAAGTATCTGAATGGGGTATCCGTGTCGAACTGCGGCGTGATATCTCAGTGGACCAGCAATATAAAACAGGCAGGCACAAGACACGCATATACACGTCGCTAAATGAGTGCAATAATTTTAAACACGTTAAACCCAATTTCACCTCACCTCTCACACTGGACTCACCACTGGCAATGCAAATTATTCAGCTTCAGGGACGGTGGCCTTGTGGTTAAAGCGTTGTGTCACCGAACATATGGCTTTCGATAAGAGTAGCTTGAAACCTGACTATTCAGCTTTAAATCTGTTTGAAAACAGACAAGATTTGTGTTATATTTCAATCCTGTCCAACCACGCCAGATCTCAATATCTGCAAAAGGGTAAATAATTCTGTATAATGAAGAGTAGCCTTCGCCTCCATGGAGTACTTGTGAATTATCGAATTTGGGACAATCAAATACCAGTATAAGAGTGTAAACGATCTACGGGCCGAATCTGTTCTTACTGGACGGATATGGTACGTGGCTGATATAAAATGTCACGCATTTCAAGTAATCGAAACCATTTCTTAGACCCTGGCATTTTACTTTCATAGGAGGAATGTACTAATGGCTTGGTGCATGCCCACGTTCAGTCTAAATGTGGATGCTGTTATAGTGCCTTGTGTCAACTTAACATCGTCGCTGTGTTATTAGGGAACATTCTACATGCTAGATGATATCTACTACTCAAAAGCAGTTAAAGAACACCCGATTCCTGTATATTACTATAGTTAATCTGTCATGCCATGGCAGATTAACTATAGTAATATAAAAGAATCCTTTTGATAATTACGTTCTCGCCGCCCAAAGAAACTCGAACACCTTACATGTCGGTTAATATATGAGGACTTACTCATATTCAAGAGATATTAGATTGTTTCGATGCACAAACGAACATACTGGTATGTTGGGTGAACCGATGCTCATGAACGCATCGACCCGTGAAGATTCCGGGGTAGAATAGGTCTTCAGATACCCATGTTTGTCGTAAAAGGTGACTATGCTTGTGGTAAAAGGCGACTAACGGGATCGGGTGGTCAGGCCCGCTGACTTGGTTGATGCATGTCATCGATCCCAATTGCGTGGATCGATGCTAATGATATTAATCACTGGATTGTCTGGTCCAGACTCGATTATTTACAGACCGCCGTCATATAGCTGTAATATTGCTGAATGCGATCATGTACGCAGGTCTTCATATAAACAGAATCTGTACATTTGGAAAACTGTCAGCTCGTTAACGTTTATACTGACAAGGTTGGATGTACACAAAGATAATTTAGAAGTACATTCACAAGGGTTGAAGGTTGTATGATTGATTGAAATATTGATAGTAAGTTTTGTACAAGGGTACTACAGTTCGTGAGGGAGTGGTACCCTTGCTCCTGTCTCTCCTCAGTTAGTGTTGACATTTGCAGGAAGCAGAGGATGTTGGCTGTGAATATTTATTTGCAGAGTTGTGCAATATCAGGTGTACCATAACTTAAGCCTTGTGTCAGCATCCCTCTTCGTAACCAGACCAAAATATGACCATTTTACAAAAAAAAGAGAGATTTTGAAAAATAAAAGACTGCATTTGTCATGCATTGGGATATGACATGGAGCCATCATTCTGATTACAGTTTCCTTAATTTCATGGAACACAGAATCCCTTTTTACTTTCTGATAGCAAAATGGAATTGTTTTGGTTTTTTAATCAGAACTTTGGATTTCTGTGGTGACAATAATGAAGTACTCCAGTGCATATCGTGTGATGGCACCGGTGTATCGTTTCAGCCCTAAATCTGTTCCTATGATTTGGCTCTAGTTACAGTAGCAAATGATCTACAAAAGGTTGATTTCCTCCTGATCTGAAGACACAGTATAGAAACCAGCATATAATACAGGCAGGGGCTGTTTTATGGATGCTTTCTAAGGGACATCATCGAACACCTGGGGTTCACTTACTCTGTCTTCAGGTGGCAGAGTAGCTTTGTGGTTGAAGCAATCACTCATCACCCTGAAGGCCCATGTACAATTCCCGCCATGGGTACAGTGTGTGAAGCCCACTGCTGGTGTCCCTGTCTTTGCTGGAATATTGCTGGAAGTGGTGTAAAACAATGCTTGCTCTTATTCCCTTCACACCCACCTGGCATATAAGGCTATACCCTGTAACCTTTGGAAAATAGTCTCACCTGTCTTAGACAATCACAATGAATTTAATTGTAAACTTTTGAAACAATCAGAACTCTCCTTTTATAATGTGTCATGGATGTCAAAATAACTTAAATCTAACATCTACTATCTCTAGCAATCCAAACATGAAACTTATAACTGTTGTTCTCCACTTTTCACAGGGTCACTTCTGAATAGCTAGTAGCAGGAAAGAACAAAACACTGCCTTTCAAAGGTTGTGCATTGTAATTTGAATATATCTGCACTAACAAAAAAAAACGTGTTGACCGTCATATAAACTGTGGCGCTATTGATTGGCCTGTGGAAGAGTTCCTTCTCCTTCCCGATCATTGTCATGGAGTGCTGTGAAAAGTTTGATTGGTTGACTCCTTAAATAAAGAAATACAATCCACATGGCCTGTGGAAGAGTTCCTTCCCTTTGCCATTCAATTTCAAGGCTTGCTATGAAAAGGTTGATTGGTTTACTGTTTGCCAAAGACATGGTTTAATTTAAGATGTAACTAACTTGTCTCATCCCTGGGGTGGGTGTGAAGTGTATAGTGAACAGCAGAGTTTGGAGAATGAACACATTCTAACACACATGTAGTAGCCTAGATTGGTGCCAGAAAGACTTACTTTTGACTTATGACCTGGTTACTTATACTGGATATCTAACAGGAGGCCTGCACAGTGTTCAGCTTACAGGATGTTTTATCATTATCAGTTTTCCAGTATGATTTTATGTTCCAGCAAGACTATAAATTGTCCTTTCTGAATGTTGATGATCAGCCTGCTGGAGCTGTGCATGTCATGGGATCCATCTGTAAAGATGATACTGATTACAACTTATTTTGGGGTGGTAACTAAAACATACATTAGTCTGTGCAGAGTTGCATCCCTTAGATGTGCCAGGGACCTATGATCATTTTTTCAAAGTCCAGATTCACCCTGATTATGATCCTTGGTTGGTTAGCACCATGTCTATAGGTTTCGCCAAAATGTTCAATTGCTAAGAACTGCATCACTTCCTCCTCTGTCAAACTGACACTCCTTGATATAACTAGAAAACTGTTCGAAGCAGAGACATGCCTGTCTCACTCACTTACTCACTAGTGTATGTGTGGATGGGCGTCCCAGTGGTGTAAGTAATCGCAACTCTTTGTGCAGAGTTGCCTCCCTTTACTGGCAGGATCTGCAGATGATCCTGATAATGATCTGGTATGTCTGCACCATAACCATATATTTGGTTTCACCCAGGTGTTGGTGCCCAGAACCTGCCTCGCTGTGTTTTCTCCACTAATCAGTCGCGGTGCAGCGAAATAACGGAAATACTGTTAGCAGCTGTGTCAAACTTCAGATCTCCCTCCCTGTTCCTCTCAAATCCATTCAAGATACTTGTATATGTTTACTCGATATTCAACATTTCCTTGATGTGGCTGATGGTAAAGTCTCGGAAACAAACATGCATAATTCTTGCAGTAAAGAAAAGTGAAAGTAGGATGAACAAATGCAAAGATACCAGTCAACATTTCTAGATGAAAAACACATGCATTTGGCACAGGATTATTAAACCCTTTGTCCAACTCAATAATAGGGCTGAACTGAAACCCGTTTCTTTTCTATATGTCTTTTTTGGCACCGAATACTACAAGTACTGGTATATACAGTCAAACGCTGTTGTGTCAAACTTGAAGCGACCTAAGTAAATACTTTGAGAAGTAAACACAACCGAAAATAATGAATAAAGAAGGAATATGTCAGGCTTTTAGTTCGAGACAACCATAAGTGCGACACACAACAGTGTTTGACTATACTTTAATGATCAATATCAGTTATTATCCTAACTTCGGTAAGACTCATAGTTTCATGTTTTGCCAGTGAGCGTCACCTCAATTTTGCTTAGGTTTAAAGGTAAAGCTTGTGCACTATTGAACAATGTTTCCAAAAATAGTTGCTTTTAAGTAGTTTTTGTGAATTTTTGTGAAAGTATAATAAGTCATCTCACAACTACACTCAAACATGCACTTTAAAAGTTAATTTTTGCATTTATTTATTTTGATTTTGATAACCCCTGTCCCTACTTCATGTTGTGATGACCAAGACAAGTCTGTAAAACATTATAAATTGGTCTTGGTTAAGTCAGTTGTGATGACTCCATACACTGTTCTGTCTGTCATGTTGTGCTCTGTGTAACTTGCTGTCTATATCTTGACCACACCATGTCTGTTTTTCTTGTTAAATCTGTGCCATTACTGACCAGTGGTCATCAATGGTCATTTCAGAATGGTCAACTTTATCCATCATCCCAAGGTTAACGTAAAATTATATTTGTTCTTCTGTGTTTGCCTTTTAATTTAGAGGAAGTCATCAAGCAAACATACAAGTCACTGCTTAATCCCAAGACAAGGATAACATCATCCTTTTGTTTAGCATCGCAATGGCTTCCAGCCTTTAGGTTGTTGTCTCGCATGTTCTGCAACATTATATACTACTCTAAAAAGTTAAAGGACCATCCGATTCTTTTACATTACTGTAGTTAAGCTGTTATGTCATGACATTAACTATGCCATGACAGATTAACTATAGAAGTGACTGTTTTTTACTTCTTTTGAGTCTTATATAACACTAGTGTTGTATGGAAAAAAGGGTCACATGTTACTTTAGGTAATGCAGCCTAAGGGTATCGCTTGATGGCTTCCTTTAAACCAGTCAACTGTGGTTCCACAGTATTGGAAAGCAATACAATGTTTTTTGTATCCGCCTCTACACTCAATATCTTAGAACGTAAAATAGATCAATTTGTTTCCAGTGGTATGTGGTGTTTTGGAGGAAAATTATTGTTTATTTCTTGTTGTCAGACCTTATTAAACTGCCTTAAGCAGCCAGATGCATCATCTTCCGACTGATATTGTTCCAGTTGCGTATCATCACATAAATATATTCATGTGTATATGTATTTTAATAAACCCAGATTATCATATTAAATCCTGTATTTTTGTGGTTGAACGGAGACAACTCCTTCGTGCGTTAGCGTTACTTCACCTTCAGTGAATAGTTGCATCTATACATGCTGTAGGTACGAAAATAAATGAATTAGATTTTATTTATTAGAACATGGAATATTTCTTGGTTCTTGGGTTCTTGGAATATGAGAATTGTAATACTAGTACCTTAGAAAAGAAAATGTTGGGTTTCATTTAATGAACCATCATGTCATTTAACTAATATCACAGTGGAGGCCGCCTCCATGATGTATCTTCCCGAGGCAAGAGAATTAACTGACTATTAAAGTCCAGTTTCCACCCTTGCCGAACTAGGCTGGTATTATGGAGTTACATTGTGGCTGGACTTAAGAGTCTATGCATAAGTCCAATCAAAATCGCGCACCGAAATCGAAATCCGGTTCGTAAACTGTCGTGCAGATTTCGATCGATTGCAGGATTTGCAAAGCATGTGAACCGCCAACTCGTTGCGAAGAAATATTTTCCAAATCTTTTCATGATTTTAATCAAGGTGCTCACGTGATTTGATGCATTTCGCGATGTAAGACCCGTTTTATCACAATATAGATCTTGATTATCGACCAGATCGTTCTGATTTGGCGCCACCATTTTGTGTGAAGCAAACGCAAGTGATACGAGAGGTGGAATCTGATTGGTCCATAGGAGAGGCTTAGAAGGGACATAACTGGTAATAGCCAGTGGTGGCGCTACGATCTAGCCCAGTAATTCCAGCCTAGTTCGGCAAGGATGGAAACTGGACTTTTATAGTCAGTTAATTCTCTTGCCTCGGGAAGATGCCATGATGTAGAGGATACAACGTCTACCTGGAGACCGGAAGGTCGGTGATTCGATCCCGGTCGTATCATACCAAAAGATGTTAAAGATTATTAATGGTATTATGACATTAGGGTGTAAAACAAGGACTGGTCGGGTCGTAGTCCGTATAAAGTATCTGAATGGGGTATCCGTGTCGAACTGCGGCGTGATATCTCAGTGGACCAGCAATATAAAACAGGCACAAGACATGCATATACAAGTCGCTAAATGAGTGCAATAATTTTAAACACGTTAAACCCAATTTCACCTCACCTCTCACACTGGACATTTTTTTATGAAGAAAACCACTGGCAATGCAAATTATTCAGCTTCAGGGACGGTGGCCTTGTGGTTAAAGCGTTGTGTCTCCGAACATATGGCTTTCGATAAGAGTAGCTTGAAACCTGACTATTCAGCTTTAAATCTGTTTGAAAACAGACAAGATTTGTGTTATATTTCAGTCCTGTCCAACCACGCCAGATCTCAATATCTGCAAAAGGGTAAATAATTCTGTATAATGAAGAGTAGCCTTCGCCTCCATGGAGTACTTGTGAATTATCGAATTTGGGACAATCAAATACCAGTATAAGAGTGTAAACGATCTACGGGCCGAATCTGTTCTTACTGGACGGATATGGTACGTGGCTGATATAAAATGTCACGCATTTCAAGTAATCGAAACCATTTCTTAGACCCTGGCATTTTACTTTCATAGGAGGAATGTACTAATGGCTTGGTGCATGCCCACGTTCAGTCTAAATGTGGATGCTGTTATAGTGCCTTGTGTCAACTTAACATCGTCGCTGTGTTATTAGGGAACATTCTACATGCTAGATGATATCTACTACTCAAAAGCAGTTAAAGAACACCCGATTCCTGTATATTACTATAGTTAATCTGTCATGCCATGGCAGATTAACTATAGTAATATAAAAGAATCCTTTTGATAATTACGTTCTCGCCGCCCAAAGAAACTCGAACACCTTACATGTCGGTTAATATATGAGGACTTACTCATATTCAAGAGATATTAGATTGTTTCGATGCACAAACGAACATACTGGTATGTTGGGTGAACCGATGCTCATGAACGCATCGACCCGTGAAGATTCCGGGGTAGAATAGGTCTTCAGCTACCCATGTTTGTCGTAAAAGGTGACTATGCTTGTGGTAAAAGGCGACTAACGGGATCGGGTGGTCAGGCCCGCTGACTTGGTTGATGCATGTCATCGATCCCAATTGCGTGGATCGATGCTCATGATATTAATCACTGGATTGTCTGGTCCAGACTCGATTATTTACAGACCGCCGTCATATAGCTGGAATAATGCTGAATGCGGCGTTAAACAACAAACCAAACAACCAATCATGTACGCATCACATGTAGATCCATGACTCGAGATGCACCATTTGTTTCGTGCAGGATTAGCGTGTAAAGTTTGGAAATCACTTGCAGCATACTGTGATAAGAATAGAGACACGTCGTGGTAACGCTTGACTGATTGTCAGTTTTGTCATTAATTCGCACACATTATAAACATCTCTTTTCAACGTAAATGCGTCTCTAGACCCGTGAAGATCCGGGGTAGAATAGGTCTTCAGCAACCCATGCTTGTCGTAAAAGGCGAATGTGCTTGTCTTTAGAGGCGACTAACGGGTTCTGGTGGTCAATCTCGCTGACGTGGTTGATGCTTGTCATCGTATCCCAACTGCGTGGACCAAGACTCGATTATTACATACCGCCGTCATATAGCTGGAATATTGCTGAGTGCGGCGTTAAACAACAAACGCGTTTCGCGTTTCTTGTGGCGGTGAGTATACATAATAAAAATTCAGTTAGGGACAAAATGGTATTTGAATGCCTTAAACAAGTTACTCGAACTGCCACCTGCCCCGAGCTCAGTCCCCATGTGGAACTATTTTATCAAACATTTGTTGAGAGCAGTCAGTCGCTTCATTCTCAACAATGGACACCTCCCTGGCGATACTGGAGGAATGGTTGGATCGCGCTGTCAGACTGTGTGACTTGGTAGATTTCGTGTCTTCGTTTCCAACGACGTCGGACGTTGCTCGTTATATCGATCACTGGTTTGTCTGGTCTAGACTCGATTATTTACAGGCCACCGTCATATAGATGGCATATTGCTGAGTGCGGATCTAAACGATAGGACCGATACATGTCAGATGACCTGCATTTCATATAAGCTATTTTAATGCTGTTAGCAAGTACAATGGTTATCGTTCTCCTGGTCTAGCTGCCCGCCTTCATGGTCTAGTGGATAGAGCGTCTGTCCCGAGAGCGGATGGTCCGTGGTTCGAGCCCGGCCGCGTCATATATATACCAAAAGACGTTAAAAGATGGTACTGCACCTAACCCTACCCGATCTAGTTCACCAGTCACGCATGTCTAGTGCGTGTAGAACTCTTAGCAGCGCTAGCACCCACGTGTTAAAGAATCTGATAAAGTACAATTATCCATTCTGCCCATTTTAGCCGAGACAATCTATAATCGCTAAAAAATCTCTATAAGTAATCCATACGTATAGTAGGCATGTTCCAATAATATGCTTTGTATTTTTATTAACATTTCTGTTAGATACAGCGAAACCAAAATATAGTTGATAATGTTAGTCACTTCCTATTCACGTAACTGACCGTCACGAACTCTAGATTACGTACAACAGTCCAGCTGACATGACTAGAGTTACGTACGAGACTGTAAGATGCTATGGAGGCCCGGGCGGCCATCATTTTAAGTAGATAATGTCAGTTTGGTGTTAATATAATTGATAGTGGTCAGCGCATATGAATTATTACAGTTAATACACTAGACTAAATTCAGATTGCGGCTTTAACATTAGGTAACTGATACATTCCTTAGGTTTGAGTCTCTATGTTACATATACCGAGTCCAGTGATAGATACTTCTCTCTGCCAGGAATGAAGAATCAAAGATACTTAGATGTTTACGGTCCCTTGAAGATCCGGGTTAGAATTGGTTTTCTTCAATCCATGCGTGACGTAAGAGGCGACTAACGGGATCGGGTGGTCAGGCTCGCTGACTTGGTTGATGCATGTCACCGTATCGAGATTGTCTATTGATCGATGCTTATGATGTCAATTACTGTCTGGTCCAGACTTGATAATTTACATATTACTGGAATATTGTTGAGTGCGGCGTTAAACAACAAACATATCAAAACAAAACAGCTGAGTTATCCGCCCTACCAAGTTAATTCCCCCACTTTGTCGGCCATTGTGACGTTGGCAAACGGGACCACGCCCAAACAAGCGAAGTGTCCCGGAAGCCGAGCTACGTTACGTCTATACAAACAAGCATAGTAATTGTTTCCTAGAAAAGTTTTGTCAAGAATATATGAATTATTTTATGTATGGACTTTTTTTAACAAAAGCGTCTGCGTGGGTTTATGCCTGTATTTACAGAGATGTACCGAGTGTAGTCGTATGTTAGACGTCAAGGAGTGAGTGAGTATGGTTTTACGCCGCTTTTAGCAATATTCCCGTAGTACCACGGCGGGGGACACCAGAAATTGCCTTCACACTTTGTACCCAAGTGGGGAATCGAACCAGGGTTTTCGGTGTGACGAGCGAACGCACGAACTACTGAGTTATCCCGCCTACCAAGAAGTCAAAGATATTTTGTTTCAGCAATACCAAGTCTTCAACTGGGTTGCTGCTACTGTAACTCTCCCCTACACTTGCACAGCCTCTGAGGCATTGGTTATTAGTTTAAGTTATACTTTCTAGATTATATAACTAATACGTTGTTCCTATAAAGACTGGCGTCCTTAGTACTGTCCGCTTATATTACTATACAACCATCGACTTATCGTTCAGTAGAGACTTTGGAGCAAGGCTACTCTCTCGACAATCCGCTCACCTAATGAGTGAGTGAGTTTGGTTTTACGCCGCTTTTAACAGTATTCCAGTTATATCACGGCGTGTCAGCTTAATTTGGGAGGAAAGCCCGAAGGGATGCAGGTCTCAGACGTTTACCACTTCAGTGAAACCCACGAGCACGGGTATGGTGCTGACAAACCTAGAAACATAATCGGGGCGAACCGGGATTCGAACTGGGCCACCCGTGCCCCCTCACCTGATGAACAAAGTCACTATTTACATAAAAAACGTAAATAGTTAAAAAGT